AAAGGTAGTTATTGAAGATAATGTCGTTTCTAAGATAAAAACTTTATTTCAGTTTAAAAAATGAGGATGTCCTCGGTAAGTAACGTTTATCCTATTTTAAAGTCGAGGCACAAAGACAGATATCGAGATAACTGGGATCCGTTGCTGACCTCCATGATATTTTGTGGTTTAAATTATAAAGCGAGACGAATTACACTCTTCGATGTTGTTATGACTGTCATTGGTATCTTATATACAATGTGTTTCGTTTCAGCTTACGTTGTTTCGCTAACAAACGCCTATACAACAGTTGGCCTTTTGACATTTGCCGCAACCAACTTTTCGATAATAATAAATTTCGCATCTGTAATTCATTTTCATGCTAAAAAGAACGAAGTTCATCAATTAATTGACAAGCTTCACCGATTAGAATATCTCAAGATTAAAGGATTTACTAAAAAATATTTAAAAATTAAAATTATTCTTATTTGGATATGTTTATTTTTATATTGTATTTTAACTATTCGAGCATCTCCAGAAGAGATTAAGTTTAGAACATTTGGAGTCAAAGTAAATAAAACTGTAGAAATCATTGTTTCGCTTTCTGAAGCCGCAATGCACTATATATTTCATGTAATGCCCATTCTTTGGTTATTTCTATTTTTTGAAATAATCTGCAATCAACTAGAAAGTGCTTTTACAGCTCTGTTGAATTTTCTTAGAAAAGGGCAAGTTTCTTCTTCTCGTTTACAATTAACAGTGAAAATGTATATGTATATTTTAGGCGTTGCGAGCAGTTTGTCAAATATTTACTCTACGTTATTATTTTTTTGGAGTGTTTATATCGGAAGTAATCTCATATTTAATTTTCACCTATATTTAACGATTCCAAAAGCAGCAAAATTAAATATGTTAAACTCGTTTATTTTGTTTTCGTTCATTCCCTTTTTATATTTTATAAATATGTGTGTGTCAGCCTCTCGAATGACAAATATTGCCAAGGAAATAACAAAAGCTCTATACACGGTTTCATTATCTAGCGATAACAACTTAATACAGAGTTGTGCTTCTCGTTTATCCATTCACACGAATTGTGTCGAAGACTTGCCAGAGTTTACGGCTTGTGAAATGTTTACCATTAATAAAAAACTGCTAGTAACGATAGGAAGTGTATTTGTAACCTACATAATTATCTTGAATCAAATGGATTAAGACAGAAGAATGACTGTACGATTGCGGATTGAACGATCGCTCTTTTGTGAGATTACAGATATATGATATGCGATATGCACTGTCTGAAATAATCTGTAATAGAAAAGTAATAATACTAGTGATTGTATTTATTTCTTATAGAATTTCGTTGCTTAGAGAGAGAGCATTATGAATTATGAGTTTGTATAAGTACACATTCTTATTTATTTATGTTGTTATAGTTAACATTTGACGGATTGAAGCAATGGTGTGAGGCCATCGTTTACTTCCAAATACTCATACTTTGTTTTTTGCTAGTAAAAATTAATAGTTTAATGGAAAGTATTTCTTTACTTTTAACATATTTTGAATGTGCCGTTTGCAATTATTCAATCTGCTGTAAGTGGACATATATGAAATGGGATACGTAATTAAAAGAAGACGAAATACATTAATAATCGTTTAATCACAAAACATTTAATTCTGATTAATAGAAAACGATCAAAGGATTATAAAGCAGTAATACGGATTGTGAAAATATGTGCCTAAACCCGAAGTAAATGTATTGATGAGCAATAGATATATCTGTACTTTTATGTCTCATTGTCTCTGAGTTTCTCTGGAATGTGGTAAATGCAATCTTCGTTCTTGCCGATGTTAGATGTAATTGTGCATCAATGTGCATAATGTTAAGATTTTTCATACAGTTCTTAAGTGCATTCAAAATGGAAACATTTAAACTGTTCAAAGTGACTACTTACTTATTCTTAGATAAAATATTCACTCTATACATGTTTACTTCCTTATTCAATTTTGTTTTACTATGATTACCACAACTGTATATTATGTGTATAATTATATATGTATGATACACAAATGTAAATTATAACTTTTACTTGTACCTATAGTAGAAGTATTAAAAATACATAAATTCAAATTGAAACAAAAATGAATGAAACGGCCATAGAAAATNATTGCTTTCTGCCTATAAATATCCTCTATACACATCGAACGTAGTATATTCAATATGAAATAATATAAAACAAATTGATTGTTTGGAATTGTTTTCCATTTCGATAAACGATATTTTAAAAGATCATCTTTTAAAATATAAAAGTTTTTACTTCTAATTATAAATAGAGATATACAATAACTTTACATAGCTACATCGTTAGCTTTAATTAAGAGTGAAAATCTTCAATACTTATACTTTAGAAGACCTTCTTAAATTTACCAAAATGGAATACAACTCAAAATATACAACAACAAAATACAATGGAAAAATCAACAATCGATTTTGTTTATTTCATGGCATATTGAATTTAGTGTATATCCACTTGTATAGAAAATATTTATAGGCAGAAAGCAATTTGGGATATTCAACTTAATATAATTGGATTTTGTATCTTTGGTGTTCGAAGAATTCGTCTTTTATGTAACCAGACATTTGTTTTCGCTTAAACCGTAACTTCGGTTTTCAGAAAGAAAATCGACGTGCCTACAAAGACATCTTCGAGTGATATAATTCGTATACAAAATAACAAGATTCTTCTAGTCGCCTATTATTTTAAGTGTGTCTTTTTATTAGAATACACTTACTGCATTAACATCTACAAAATGGTGTAAAAGAGTAGGCTTCATTTTGTTATTACATATCGACTATTGATGTAACGAACAATTTTAAACCATAATAACGTTATTAGCAGACGAGGATATTTATCATTACACGAAAAACTGCCCTAAAATATACTTTATAACTTTCTTGTGAGATATCTAAGTTTGTTTTGATTCAGACCGATACACACGAGACGTGTATCGGTCTGAAATTATTAAGAAAACACCGAGAATTCACCAATTGGCGAACAGAGAATGAAAAATTTTATGCATTTTATAGCCCTGTGTTTACTCAACGGGGGCGATATCGCCGCCATGTGGGCGTTTTTCCATCTTGAGGGGGTGATTTGTAACAATTTATATTTTCGGGGCGAAAAACAATTTTCTGGGCGGTATAGTAAAACATTATATTAAGAATAATTAGATATTTTATTCGTTATCCATCTTGAGGGGGTGATTTGTAACAATTTATATTTTCGGGGCGAAAAACAATTTTCTGGGCGGTATAGTAAAACATAATATATTAAGAATAATTAGATATTTTACTCGTTATATCGTACAATAATTAAACAAACAACATTATACTAGTCACTAGAATGTAGTACGAATTTGGCGTTAGCCTTGGCCCTCGGCATCGAAATTTTGAAGTGAAGGGGCAATACTACGTTGAAGGGGGGCGACGATTCGTTACAGGTTGAGAAACACTGCTATAGCCCATCACTGTCAGGCGGGGTAATTGTAGACTATAATTTTGGGAAATGTGATTATATTTGTTTTGGTTATGCGTTGTTTCTCTCTGATCTAAAGAATTGTTTTATTTTACAGTATATTCTTAATCATAACTTCTGCGAAAAGAAAACTCTACAATCTTCTGTCATATAAAACCGATACATAAATTGCACGCTATTATTATATGCATTAACTATATTATAGTAAACGAGACTAATGAATGCTCTTGCAATTAACTTATGTAAACATCGACTAATAGGAAAATGATTTAATCTGCAGTATGTAAATCTTAATTTGTTCAAACTGATGTTTCTAAAAATAAATCTGTGCATCGTCAGTAAAATGTGAAACTTTAACGGCATCGTTATGGCTCCACATCATGCTTTACATTTTTCTGTAAATTCATCAACTATTAATTACAATATTATATATTTTTACATTATATTAATATAAGTACATCAATTTATTATTTCGCGAGCATTATATAATTTAATTTCGAGCACTCTTCAATCTAAAATTCTTATCTGTGCCAGTAAAATGGAACAATAGATTGATACTTATGTAAGATAAAAATCAGAATATTTGTGCACACACTGAAGTGCGCAAAAATACTGTGATTGAAAAGCTGACACTCAGTCTATTGTTCTGCATTGAAGTTACTGCACATAACTTTGATTAATTATTTTTAATTCGATTATAACTATTCATATTAACAGTTGAAATTAATAAATATAATAAGAATGTTTTCAAGACGTATAGATTTAAGTTTGAAGAACAAAATATGTATGCGCTGTTTACTATCTTCGTTTACGCCAGTCTCAATGATGTACGTATTGGACTTTTTTGTCTTGCTCCTGTGACGCGAAATCTAACGCTTACTTGCAGAAACTTATGAACTTTTACATTTCCTGTATTGAAATATATTGTTGGATGCATGCTTTTCTCGTTGTTTGTATGACAATTCCTTATATATCGAACATAACGCCTTGTTATTCCTGATATGTGGTCGTCAAGTATGACATACCACGTATATTCCAGATATACGCTTGTCGTTATTGTCTTGGTTGCGGCTGTAATATTCAGTATTGTCAAAAGAGTCAAATTAAGCCCGAAAATACTATTAAGAAAGTCGTATCGTTTTCCTACAGATCAATTATTTTCTACTATCGACAATATACTGTTTTATACAGTAATTATATCTGTGGGTTTTACGGTCTTGATTGTTTTTTCAGAAGTTTGTTTATTGTATCCTCATTTGGAAAAAGTAAAGTCTTATATCGTGTTTCCCCGAAAATAAGACACTGTCTTATATTAATTTTGGCTCTGAAAGATGCGTTAGGTCTTATTTTCAGGGAATGTCTTATTTTTCCATGAAGAAGAATTCACATTTATTATTGAACAAAAAAAATCCCAAGTCGAACTTAGACGAGAGTGACGTATATCCGGTCGTGTCGAACTGAACTTAAATAAAACCAAAGTGAACTTACAAAGTTCCCGTGCTGGAGTGGACTTCCCACTCTCTATTCTATTCTCTCCCCCTTGTTCATATGGCCAAGACAAA